CTTATGGCTTGGATAAGGTACACCTTAGTCTCTAGTTTGACATCATTGCTCCTTAATACTCTGCAGAGGTCCCTGACAGAAGACTTTCCCAAAGCAATTTGTTTTTTGGTTTCCTGACTGCTGGTGCCAAAAGTTCTGACTGTGGACCTGTGCAAGATGAAAATATTAATAACCTCAATCTCTTCTCCATCTATTATGATTCTGCCAATTGGCCCAGCAGTGAGAATATTTTGTTTTCTTGATGTTTACTACTGCAATATATTTTTATAGCATACAATTACATGCATCTTAAGCATATAGCTTAATGTATTTTTATAATTATTTCCCAGCTCTAGCTGTTCAATGTTTCTAGGTTTTCTTACCCCTAATACCAGTCAGTTGTTGTTGTTGCTGTGAGGTACCATCGAGTTGAGTACCGCTCATTGCAACCCTGTGAACACCTGTCCATACTGCCCCTCATTATGCTGACTTGGATCGCCTTTGGTGAAGACGGTGTCCATCTAGTGTCCAGCCTCCCATTCTCCACTGCAGGGGCGGAGGGGTGGGGGGAGCCACGTTCCATTCCTAGGCACCCCATGAGTATCCACCACCCAACCGTCAGCACAGGCTTGAGTGTTTCTGTGATGCTAAACAGATTTTTGTAGTTTCCAAGCTAAACAGAGCCAGGAAGAAAGATCTACTTCTGAAAACTAAACCAACAAAAACCTGATGGTGCCCAGTGGCCGGCCCGCCATGCAGGGCCAACTTGAGCTAACGACAGCATCCCTGGGAGGTTTTTCTGACTTCTGAACTTTATTTAAAGATATTTTATTATGAGCCATTACATCAGAACTGCCTCATCGCTGACCCTCCAGTGGGTTTTCAGAGGCGGTCCACTGCACGGAGGGCAACTGGGCATCTTTCGCCCATGGACAACTGGTGGATCTGAACCGCGTTCCTTTCTTTAACTTGGCAACACTATTCACTACCAGTAAGTCACCAGAGTTTATATAGTGTTTTGCATTTGCATCTTATGTTCACCATAATGTCTACAGGACTTGGCCATGTGGTTACACAGAACAGTGGCTTATTCTTCTTTAATAGCTGATGTATTGTACAGTTATCTGCAGTTTCTTTATTCATGCTTTTGCTGATGGGCATTTGGGTCGTTTCCAGTTTGGGGTTACAACATTGTTATAAATTCTGTCCGTGGATGCAGGCCCTCCTTTCTCCTGAGTAGAGACCTAGGAGTGGAATTGCTGTACCATGCAGTTGGACTTTCTGAGAAACCGCCAGTTTTCCAGATGGTTCTCTCGATTCGCCCTCCCACCAACAGTGGGCCTGTTGCACCACCTCCTCTCCAGCACTTGCTGCCTGCTCTTTGTAATTGCAGTCATGCTGGCGGCACCTCACGCTGCTTCATGTCTCTGTTGAGAAATGATGCTGGGTGTTCAGAATGGTTGTGGAATGAAAGCTCAGGTGGACTGGGGGGAGCTTCTCTACCTTGCAGGGGAGGAGAGTGAAGACCTCTGTGTCCCGTTTCCCTGTAGGACCGCTCCTTCAGCCTTCTGGGGTTTAGAACTCACGCCTGGGTCCCCATGAATGGGGGCCAAGCAGAGACAACGTGGCCACTTCCAGTCCTGGTCTGTGAAGACCTGCGAGGGCTGAGCTTTCACCTCCATGATGACCTGGATGGTCAGAACCTGGGGATGACGGAGCTGCAAGACAGAATGAACTCAGCTCTGGGGACCCTCCTGGAGAAGCACTGCCCTCCAAGCAGATACCCCACATGAGCCTTTGGTGTGGAAGAAATAATCCTCCTCTGCATTTGAACCCCCGGGTATTCTGGGCTTGAGCAAGGTGGAGACAGAGATGGTGCAGGGTGAGGTTAGGTTTCCATCTGTTATTCAGAAGGTCAGTATGAGTCAGAGTTGACTCAACGGCACCTAACAATAACAGCATTCCGGGTTTGTTAAAGCAGCAAGCTTTACCCTCAGTAATGTAGGGACTGAGTTCCTGGGTGCTGCAAAAGTGAATACACCCAGCTGTCACAGGAAGGTTGGTAGTTCAAATCCAGCCAGAGGCACCTCAGAAGAGAATACTGATGATCTACTTCCAAAAGATTAGTCACTGAAAACTCCATGGAGCACAGGCCTGCTTCACTACTGAACACACACAGTCACTGGGTCGAGGTCAACTCCACAACTGGTTAGTGCAGGTGTAACCAACAAAGCCCTGGTGGTGTCGGGTGATATTTACTGAGTTGCTAGCTGTGATGTACACGGTCTACTGTTCAAAATGGCTTTCCGAGGCCATTGACCTTGAGTTTGCCTCCTGGCTGGATGGGAACGTGCAACTAGGGTGTCCTGGTCCATCCGTGAGAGCATCAGCCAATTTCACCATCCCGTTAGCCTGATCAGGTTCACAGACAGAAATGTGAGGATCTCACCATCGGCAAGAAAGGCCTGGTGCTGGGGGGGCAGGTCTGACTTCACAGGAATCGGTTTTGTGTTGTGGATATTTCTTGATGAAGACAGACCCCTCCTGTGCATTTAGCAGACTCAGCCTTCCTCACAGTCCCTCTTAGATCAGCAGTTCAAATCCCCCAGCTGGTTCATCCTCTGTCTTCTCCCATAGATTTCGAGCCTCAGAAACTAAATGGACCATCACTATGAGTCAGAACAGAAGGGCAGTGGGTAACGGAGGTAACAAAGCAGCAGCCCTGGTTTTACAGATGAGAACTCAGCGGGTTAGTAAGGAGTGGAGCTATGACTTGGCTCTATTCCTGAACCAATCACTGTGCAGAGCTCACATAGGTGGTGCTATGATTGGCCAGGCTTCTGTCCCACCCATCACACCCAGTGGATAAGGTGCACAAAACCACAGGTTCAACATGAGGGGAGCTGAGTGTTTACCCCAAATCATATCAGGGTGCTATTCGCAGAAGGAGTAAGGAGAGGCAGAGGTGACCCATAGAGCCGCAGTCTCTATGGAGCCCTGGTCAGCCCCCCACTGATCTCCTCACTGCTGCTGAACCTTTCTTCTGCCCCCCCCCACACCCCGAGCTAGGGGCGACCTTGCTTATTCCACATTCCACTGAGAAGCCAGATGCCACCAGACAAAAAATGAACACTCACACCTCCAGTCAAACCCCAGACTTTGATCCCCACCCCTAGTGGCCCTCACTGTGGTCAGAACACTCCAGGTGCCCAGCCACCTCAGCTCATCAATCATCTCCCAATACCTTCAGTCTCTCTACAGGCTTGGTGTTCTGCCATCCTAAAACCATCTCGCCAACCATCACTTCTTCACTCCCTTCTCAGTGTTACTTCCGCTCACCCCTGCGTTTCTCACCTCCCACTCCCTCCGCCTTGTCAACCACTGCACACATACATAACTCCTTTTACCAGATGAATTTCTCTAGAACTGAGATTAGCAATGTTCCAAATGTCCAAAGCACTGAGGCGTTCCATCACCTCCACGTGGACGACTCCTCCTCCCCTCAGTCCCCTCTTCTCCGTCTGCCTTTGAGGTTTGTGATTTACTGGAGGGGCTCGTGTAAACTCAAAACACCATCAGGCAACGGCTCCTGTGATTGTGGGTGATGTAAGTGATCCCAGAGATGAGTGAGCAGAGACGGGTGAGCGAGGGGCCAGGAGCCCACAGACCAAGGCTGTCAGCACAGCTGGACCAGGTTAGACGCGGTGTCCCAAGCAAACAAGGGGTGAACTTCCATGAACTCTATATGGGATGTGGGGACTGTAAAGCACAAGCCCAGGAGAACAAAGGGGAGCAACTTGGGGAGTATCTTCTTGCAGAGTGGGGCTCAGGTCCCACTCTAACCCCTTCTCCTTAGTAATTCATCCTTCACTGAGGTCTTAAGGATAGAAGGTAGAATCACAAAATGGAAAGCTATGGACGAAAGAGCCACGTTAATTCATCGTACACAGGCATCCTGACCCACTGAAGCAGGCCTTGCTCTGGGTCCCTCAAAGCCCAGGGGCACCCCACATGTACCACCTAGCTGGTCTGCAGCACTGACGACAGCCGACAGCTCCCTCCTTCCTTCCAGAAGCTCCTGGTAACCTTGGGGGGGTTCTATCCCAGGTCCTCCCCTCCCCTCACAGACCTGACTGCCGGTCCTCCTGTCCAACAGGCTGCCCTGCCCAGCAGCCTTGAGGAGGAAGGTTTATTTTCTGTGTTGATGTGGCTGGTTCTCAGTGGTTTGGCCAAAGAGCAGACTAGCTCCATCACACAGTCACCACCTTCCATAAAGTAATCTAATGCAATCAGATGGAAAAGAGTGTGTTCTCACTGGAACTCACCTGTTCACTGTCCGTGTCTGCTGCCCTCCCAGTCCTCTGACGTCCCGACGAGGAAGCCATTGATTTGTTCAAACCAGGTGTAGTCACAGCTGCCTGGCTTTAAACCCTGAGAGCCAAAGGCTTTCTGGAAGGCACCTCTCCAGCCTCCCCCGGCGGCTGCTTCCTCAAGACATCTAGCCACATCTGCTCCACCTCAGCTCCAGAGCCAGCCCAGAAATGACTGGGTCACTGTCCAACTCGAAAGTCGGCCTCCAAGCTCTTCAAGATCTCACTACCTTGAGTTGCTGCTCCTTCCCACAAAGCCCCCCATCACACACAGTCCAGGTATATGTTCAAAGCTCCTCTCGTTATTTGTCTAGTCCATCTCCTTGAAGCAAGCTAGGTGTGGAGCGTGGCTGCCACTCGAGAAAAATGAGGTTGCCCAGGGAAGGGCAGGAGCCTGCCCAGGTCACCCAGCACGCGGAGGCGGCGAGAGCCCAGCATAACCAGAGCCTGCTGGCTTGGACCCAAGTGACTCTCCCCTATCACTGTCCCTGTACCAACGCTGGCAGGACCTCAGTCACTGGCTTCGCCTGCCATTCAACCCTTCCTAGCCCAACACTACCCCATCCCAGTTCAGTCGGGGGATGACAGGAGAATGGACGGGACTACAGCCAGAGACTGGCACAGACAGCAAAGTTCCCTTTTATTTTTCTCTTTTTTAATAAATTTAAGAACAGGTCTCGTTGCTCTCCTCCCCCCAGAGCAACTAAAACCAACTAAAAAGGGGCATAGCCTAGGGGGCAGGGGGTGCTAGGAGTCATAATCCTCTTCGTCCTCTGCGTCAGGTGCTGATGGGCCCGGGGGTGCTGGGGGCAGAGGCATGGTCGAGGAGGTGAAAGGCATGAAAGGTGTCGGGGGGCTGCAAAACAGAAAGCAGGGGTGTGTTGGGCCACAGTGGAGGGCTTTCCTGCTCAGAGTCCCAGCCCACCCTCCACAGGGAAACCCCTGCCCAAGGGAGGCACAGTGCAGTGAAGTGAACGACCCAAAGCAGGTCAGGGCCCAGGCTCTGTCCACTGCTCCGGCCAGGGAAGCAGAGGACCTGCTGGGAACACAGCTTCAGTTCCTTCCCCTCCACCTTCAAGTCAGCCCCCACGCCTAAAGCCATGACAGAGAGGACAGGCCGGCGGGCCACGCGTGTCTGGGTACGTGTCTGTTCCTCACCCTCAGTGTCCTCTAAGATACTGGCCCTCCCAGCTCTGCTTACCTCTGAAAGTGGGCAGGGGGGTGGCTGGCCTGGGCCGGGGGCTGCAGCATCTCCTCCTCCCCCTCAGTATCTGTGTCATCGGAATCATCCTGTCAGGGAACAAGGGTGACAGGAGAAGGACCTGAGATCTCTCGGGTGGGGACAGGAGGTGGATCCCAGCAGCCGAAACTAGCAAACAAACCGATGTGCAAAGAGGCCCCTGATAAGGACAGCCCCAGCGTCCAGTCCAGCCACCTCAGCCTGGTGCCACCCTCTCTCCGCCAGAGGGGGCCTCCTCACCTCCTGCTCTGAGTCCGTCCCTGACAGCTTCTTGTCCTTGCCTTTGCTGCCCATGCCACCATTCTTCCGGCTGGTGCCACCTGGTTTCCGGCCCCTTGGGGAAAGTACAGTCCATCTGTCCACGGGTCTCTCCTCTACTAGGCCATCCCCCCCCCTCACTGGCCCCTGGGACCTGGGCCATCCCCACCTGGACACCTGACTTCCCACCTGCGAGCACCCTTGTCCCCGTCCATGTGGTTGTCTTCTCCGTCCCCCTGCATGTCAGGCACGGAGGCCACCAGGTCCTTCAGAAAGTCAAACTGCTGCTCCAGTTCAATGCACTGCTTCCTGGAAGGAGGGGGCAGAAGGGCACTGAGGTGAGGTGGGCGCAGCGAGGGGTGCAGGACGTCAGGGGAACTCCCACCCCACCTCCACCACCACCGCTCATTATTCCCTCTGACGCCCACAGGCAATCCCACCTGTCGGGTCCAGCCTCCCCCGGCCAGCGATCACCCTCAGCGCCCGGGGCGCACCTGGCCCCACCCCGCCACTCACAGGTGGGACGTGGTCATGGTCTTGGCGTTGCGGGACTGGGTCACCTGGCAGGCCTTCTTCAGCAGCGACTCCAGGAAGAGCTCCAGCGCCCGGGCTGCGAGGTGTCAAGGAGAAGGCGGAGGGGGGAAGAAGGTCCCGGCCCGCCCCCCACGGCCCCCGGCCCGCCAGCAACAGGATACAAATGATGACCGGCACAGCCGCCGCCACCTTCCCAATCTCCTCGTCCGTCTGCATGATCTTCTTGATCCGCGCCTGGGGAGGGGGGCAGCGAGCTAGGACCCCGCCGCCTCCTTCCCGAAAAGGAAAGCTGGGGGTACGGGAGGGGATTCGGGAGACAGGGGCAGGGGGCGAGGGGGGAGGGGACGGAAGAGGGCGGGGCGTGCAGGCCCCGGACCCCGCGGAGGGCCCGCCCCCCCAGCCGGGCTCGGGTCCCGGCCTCCCGGGAGCCCGGCCCGCTCCTCCCCGTCCGGCCACGTGCTCACCGGCGGGAACCGCGCGTTGTACTTCTTCTTCTTGCTCGGCATCTCGGGGCCTCTCCCGACGCGCCGGGCCCAGCGCCGCCGCCCGCAGCCTCCCGGCCCCCGGGCCTGCTCGCCGCCCGCCGCTCGCGCTTCCCCCGGGTCCTGGCGCCGCCCGCTCCAACTCCCCGCCGCTCCTCACGGGGTCCTAGCGCCGCCGCTCAGGACGAAACTCGCTGGCGGCCCAGGGCCCTCCCCTCGAGCCTCGGGGGCGGTGCGCTTCCTGCCGTCCGCAAGCAGGCCTCTCTCGGTGCTCCGGGCCACCCGCCTTCAAGAGCGAACGTTAGCTCCGCCCCACGGCCGGCCCGTCCTCCTTAGCCTCCCGCGGAGGCCCCGCCCCCGCCCGACAGGCCCCGCCCCGTGCGTGCGCTTGTCTATAAAGTTGTTGTTGAAGCGGCGGGCGCTCAAGATGGCGGCGGCGGCGGCAGGCGTGGCGGGGGCGGGGCGCGGCGGCGCGGAGCCCCGACAGGAGCGGAACCGGGCCCGGGCTTGGGCCGGTGCCGAACGCAGCGAAGGCCGGAGGTGAAGACGGGGCGGCGGGGAGGGGAGGGCCGGGGCGGGGGGCCTAGCTCGGTCTGTGGGCGCTAATGGCGGCGGGCGCGGCGGGGCTGGCATCCTGCCCTCCCGCAGTTGCTTCAGCAGCGGAGGTTCGAATCCAGGCGCTGCCCCGTCGGCTTTGGTTCCCGCCAGTGCTTCTCTAGGCTGCACTGTCTTCGTCTTTGAGGTGGCACGAGGATGCCCATCGGGCGGCCTGGCCGCGCGGGACTCCCCCCGGGTACTGCGCGCACCTGCACCCGGCTTTCCCTCCTTCCTGGAATCCCTGATGCCGTGCAGGCGCTTGGCCAGGGTCGCAGGTGCGATGGAGCCAGAGCTTCCACCTGGGACTCACGTTAGGCTCTGCCACTCAGTACAGGTGTGACCTTGGCCAGGGCCCTTCTCTCTGTACGTCACTGGAAGTGACAGCACGGTGACAGCACTGACAGTAGCAGGAACACGTTTGCAGCACAGACTCCACCTCAGGCGTCACATTCTGGCTGCTCTTTGAGATAGGAACCTGTGTTATTCCAGGGTGAAGACGAGGCAGCTGAGGCCCAAGGCCACACAGTTTGGGTTGGTGCCTAGCACCTGTGCTTGTCTCAGACCTGCCTGACTCGATTCCTTCCCAGCAGGATGGAGCCCAGCGAGGAGCCGGAGGAGGAAGACTCCCCTGGAGGCCGGGAGGATGGCTTCACCGCCGAGCATTTGGCTGCAGAGGCCATGGCGGCCGACATGGACCCCTGGCTCGTGTTTGATGCCCGCAGCACACCCGCCACCGAGCTGGACGCCTGGCTGGCCAAATACCCACCTTCCCAAGTCACCCGCTACGGGGACCCTGGCTCCCCAAACTCTGAGCCTGTGGGTTGGATCGCAGCCTACGGGCAGGGCTACAACCCCAACTCGGGCGACGTTCAGGGTTTGCAGGCTGCCTGGGAGGCTCTGCAGACAAGTGGGCGGCCCATCACACCTGGCACCCTGCGCCAGCTTGCCATCACCCACCAGGTGCTCTCCGGCAAGTGGTTGATGCACCTGACACCTGGCTTCAAGCTGGACCACGCCTGGGCTGGCATTGCTCGAGCTGTGGTCGAAGGCCGGCTTCAGGTGGCCAAGGTGAGCCCACGGGCCAAGGAGGGTGGGCGCCAGGTCATCTGTGTTTACACGGACGACTTCACGGACCGCTTAGGCGTACTGGAGGCGGACTCGGCCATCCGGGCCGCGGGCATCAAGTGCCTGCTCACGTACAAACCTGACGTCTACACCTACCTGGGTATCTACCGAGCCAACCGCTGGCACCTCTGTCCCACTCTCTACGAGAGCCGCTTCCAGCTGGGAGGTGACGCCCGCGGCTCCCGTGTGCTTGACCGTGCCAACAACGTGGAACTGACCTAGTAGGACAGATGGGGAGGCCACCCTGTACCCGCCTAGGATGGATGCTCCCACCTACCTCCCTGTACCCCAAGGAGGCCAGGCCCCCAGCTCTGAGGATTGGGATGGGTCACCCCAGAACTGCCTGCATCTTAGACCCCCTTGAACTTCTGCTCTTCATCAAGACTGACTCAACCCCCAAAGGGCAGGGGGCTTTGGCTCGCTGGGGTCCAGGCCCTCAGCCTCTCTCTTCGCTGCTCTCTCCTCCACCTCCCAGAACTACAGGTCAAGGCCAGACGCCAGAGGGAAGGCCATCCTTGGCCACCTCTGCCACCTCACCTGGCTGGCCCTTCCCTCCTCCTGCCTTATCTCTCTTCTCTTTCTTCAAGAAGGGGCAGACTTAGTGCTTCCAGTCCTTTCCCTTGCACCTTCCAAGTCCACAGGGCGGGGCCTGCAGGCCTGAGCATGCTGCGGGGGTGGGGGTGCGGGTGTAGTCCCACACAGCCCCTTGCTGAGAGAGGGACACCAGGGCCCCAGACACTGTGCCTGCCACTCACAGCCCGCGTTGCACGTCCACAGCCCAGCTACTCCTCCCACTCCACCTCCCCAGTCCCCCGTCCTACCCTGTCACATACTTACTCCTGGCATTCTAATAAAGCCCAGCTTGGGTCTGTGTCTCGAGTGATTTTTAAAAGGTTCTCTTGGTCACCTACTTTGTTTGCGGAGGAGTACCAGGGTCAGGAGAGGACTGCTCCCAGGCCTGGCCTGTGCCCACAGGGCTAAGACACACCTCGCTGCCAAGCCAGCCCTGCGCCCCATCCTGAGTCAGTTTCTCACAGATCTCACATGAGTCTCAGGGTCTAGCCTGTCCAAAGAGGCCCAGAGCCCCTACAAAGCTACATTTATACATGATAGATGTGCACAGGACCATAAATGATCCACCTGGGATCCTGGGCACGTGGGTTGGTGCACAGACAATGGACTAGTTCTCAGCACTCTCCACTGTCCTCCCTTTAGGGGGTGCCCTGGGAGTCCTCCCACTTGGGCTCACCGCTCTCTGCCCAGCTCGAGCCACTGGACAGCTCTCCACTGATTTATGTAGGCAGTATTCTGTGAAAGAGGACCCATTCTGTGGTCAGGGACATTGAGGCCCACAGGGGCAAGACGCTGCCTGTGGTCACATAGGGGAGAAACAGGGCTGGAACCCCATCTGCTGCCTCTTTTCAACCCACAAAGCACTTTCACTCCCATGATGCTGCTGGGCTTCTGGAAGCCAGGCTCCCGACACCTCCCCGCTGCAGCCCTGGCCCTGGCCTTGGTCAGGATCCAGGGCATCTGGCAGGGAGCCCCTGGGGACACTGCTCTCTCGTGCTGTGCCGGAGCTGACTCAGCCTCCAGCCGCCTCACCAAGTTGGAATTTGGAGCAGGGGAGCGGAGATGCCATTCAGCTGTCTGAGTGGAAGTGGGTGAGTCAAGCGAGCTTGGCAGGCCCCTTCCCCAGCTTCCTCCCCACCCTGGGCCAGCCTCAGGAAATCCCCAGAGCCAACCTGCCAACCTCCCGCAGACCCACAGTGCCTTGACCTTGACCAAAAAAGGGTCAAGACTTGGGGGTTCTGATCAGGCCCTCATGGCTCCTCCGTTGCCCACAAAATGTCAAGACTGTTGATCGAGCCACACGTGCCCATGCCCTCTGCCCACACCCACAGCCACTCCTCTGCCCCTGGTCCTTTCTAGCCCAGACTTCTGTCACTAAACCACTACAGTAGCCCCCATTGTGTCTAGCATCTCATCCTGCCCCCAACTCATTACTTTGTCCTCAGCCACAGTCAATGGATCCTTCTACAGAAGGTCCAGGGGCCCCCACAGCCTGCAGGTCAGCCCCCCCACCACCATCCAGGGACCCCTGCTCACGTTCCATCCACTGGCACCGAGCCCCCAGGCCTCCAGCTGTGCCTTCTGTGTGAACACCTGCCAGCAGCGGGCAGGTCTGTGTGGCTGCCATGTGATCATTCTTTGTGATCCGGTCACCTCTCTGGCCCCTACACCACAAGTTCAGACAGTGCTCCACACTCAAGGAGGCCAGGAACCCTGTCCACTTCAGCTCCAGCAATGAACCGATGAGCCCACCCCAAGCACAACGCGCCTCCAGCCTCACCACGGCTCATCCCTCCCCTGCTTCAGTCTCGTTCCGGAAGTACAAGCTGCCTGTAACACACACACGCTTCCATTGCCCATGGCCTTGCTGACCATGTCTCTGCACAGGCCTGCCTCTCAGGGTCATCCTCTGCAGGCTCCTGCCTTCCCTCCGCCTCCTCCCACCCTCATCCCAAGTACAGAAGCCCCTCCTCAAGCTCCCACAGACCGTGGACTCCCGTCTGTGCTTCTGGGAGGATAGCGGCCACACTTTACCCCTTGTACCTTCAGCATCCGGCCACACCTGGTCGAGCTCAGCTGCTGAGAAGCATTGAAGGTCTCCCTTTCATTCCAGGTCTCAGTTTCCTCATTCTGTGAAATCATAATGAGGAAGGTCTGTGTTAAATGCTGATTGATCTCATCCAGACTTCCCTAAGACACATTAGTGGGGCAGTGAGTAAGACTCTTGGCTGCTAACCAAAAAGTCGACGGTTCAAATCCACTGGCCACTCCATGGGAGGAAGACGAGGCGGTCTGCTCCAGCTTACATGCTGAGACACCAGCGGGGCAGTTCTGGGCCGTGTCCTCGAGCGTCATTATGCGCCGGAGTCCAGGTGATGGTACTGGGTTTGTATTTTGGTTTTTAGCATCACATCGTTTTTGCTAATAGCTACCGCAGAGTTGCTTCAAATGAAACACCACCCAGCCCTGAGTCCTCGCAAGAACTGCTGTGCGGATTTTTAGTTGGAGATTCTGCAGGTTCTTGTTGCCATTTTGCAGAGGAAAAAACTGAGGCACATAAAGGTTTAGCAGCTGGCCCCGGGTTAGCATTTGAAGCTAGGCCCTCATCTTTCAGGGCTTTTATCGTGGTGGAAGTGCTGCTGGAGGTGGGGCCGCAAACACAAATGATCCCAGCAAGGGCTGCTGTTGTTCCCTGTCAAGTCGGAACCCACCCATCGCTGACCCTCCGGCAGGTTTTCAGAGGCAGTAAACTGCACAGGAGGAGACTGCCTATCCTTCTGCTGAGGAGCATCTGGTGGATTTGAACCTCCTGCCTTTAGAATTGTTGTAGATATGTGCCATTGAATTGACTACAACCCAAGCAGACCTATGAACAATGGCTCTGAACCTGGCCCTATCCTGAGCCGTATCCTCACCAGAGCTGACACATCTGACCCCATTGCCGCAGCCACTGTGTCAGTCCAGCTCATCCAGGGTCTTCTTTTCTTCTCTTCCAAGCATGATGTCCTTTTCTAAGGACTGATGCCTCCTGGCAACAAGTCCAAAGTATGTGACATGTTGTTGTTGTTGTTGTTGTTGTTATGTGCCGTCGAGTCGCCTGCGACTCATAGCGACCCTATGTACAACAGCCCTAAACTCC